CTGTGATATTTACATATGAATGGGCGGAGCTATTTACATATGAATAAGCTGCGACTCATTCTCCCAAGAAAAAAATTTCTGCGCGGCACTAGAGTGTTCGGGTTTCACTTGAAGAAAAGGTGGCAACCCTAATCAGAAGCCCTCCCTTTACTTCAGGAGCCCCCTTTTCACATCGGAGCCCCCCCCCCCTTTAATATCAGAAGCTGCAGCTGTGGTAGAAGGTAAGAGGTGAAGCAGGCCTGGATGGAGGAGACATTTTTTAGAATGGATCCCAACCCTTCCTGGATCAGTGTCCATTTTTCCGTGGTGCTGGCCAAAATCTTGGGGCCCCCCTGAGTAAGCCAGGAGGCCCCCTGGTGGAGAGAGGCCGCCTTACACCTACAGGGACACCGTGCTGTCATCGCAAGTCTGTGACGGTTCTTGTCTACCAGATCATGGCCACCCAATAATACCGGTCACTGTCACCTGTCGTGTAATGTTGAAGATGATCTGCTGCCGGCCCAGGTGGTTTCTTCCAATCGACCCGGCAGGGGAGGAGAAGGAGGCGGGCCCGTGGACGGAGAAGGAGGTGGGGCCCGGTGACGGAGGCGGGGCCTATCAGCGACCGTGGAGGAAGAGGAGGCGGACAGGTAAGGAGTGCGACCAGCCCACCTGAGGGGGACCCTGCAGAGCCCACCATAGAGAGTCTATGGGGGGCTCTGCAGGGTCCCCCTCAGGTGGGCTGTGTGGGACCTCAAGTGGGCTCTGCAAGGGGTGTAACTAGAAATCACGGGGCCCCCGTACAAAATTTTGCTATGGGGCCCTGTGATTTCTAGTTACGCCCCTGGTCCTGGCCCGAATTACCCTCGATATCGGAACTTCCAGTCAGAGGAAGATTTCCTCTGACCGGCAGTGCCGTAGGGGAACATGGAGCCGGCTTCCCGTGCGATCAGGAAGCTGGGAGGCGGTAATAACCCTGATTGGCTGGGAAGCTGGCTCCTTGGCCAAGTGGTGTCTTCCTTCTCTTCTTATCCTTTGGCATAAGCCGAACCAATGCCGTGGAAGATTACTAAGCATTGCGCCACACTGCCTCGGAGTGCACAGTGCAGGGAGGGGTGAATCTCCCCGATCCATCCTCTATATAGAGCAGGGTGCGCCGTGCACGGAGGGGGAATCTCTCCCGATCCATCCTCTATATAGAGCAGGGTGCGCCGTGCACGGAGGGGGAATCTCTCCCGATCCATCCTCTATATAGAGCAGGGTGCGCCGTGCACGGAGGGGGAATCTCTCCCGATCCATCCTCTATATAGAGCAGGGTGCGCCGTGCACGGAGGGGGAATCTCTCCCGATCCATCCTCTATATAGAGCAGGGTGCGCCGTGCACGGAGGGGGAATCTCTCCCGATCCATCCTCTATATAGAGCAGGGTGCGCCGTGCACGGAGGGGGAATCTCTCCCGATCCATCCTCTATATAGAGCAGGGTGCGCCGTGCACGGAGGGGGAATCTCTCCCGATCCATCCTCTATATAGAGCAGGGTGCGCCGTGCACGGAGGGGGAATCTCTCCCGATCCATCCTCTATATAGAGCAGGGTGCGCCGTGCACGGAGGGGGAATCTCTCCCGATCCATCCTCTATATAGAGCAGGGTGCGCCGTGCACGGAGGGGGAATCTCTCCCGATCCATCCTCTATATAGAGCAGGGTGCGCCGTGCACGGAGGGGGAATCTCTCCCGATCCATCCTCTATATAGAGCAGGGTGCGCCGTGCACGGAGGGGGAATCTCTCCCGATCCATCCTCTATATAGAGCAGGGTGCGCCGTGCACGGAGGGGGAATCTCTCCCGATCCATCCTCTATATAGAGCAGGGTGCGCCGTGCACGGAGGGGGAATCTCTCCCGATCCATCCTCTATATAGAGCAGGGTGCGCCGTGCACGGAGGGGGAATCTCTCCCGATCCATCCTCTATATAGAGCAGGGTGCGCCGTGCACGGAGGGGGAATCTCTCCCGATCCATCCTCTATATAGAGCAGGGTGCGCCGTGCACGGAGGGGGAATCTCTCCCGATCCATCCTCTATATAGAGCAGGGTGCGCCGTGCACGGAGGGGGAATCTCTCCCGATCCATCCTCTATATAGAGCAGGGTGCGCCGTGCACGGAGGGGGAATCTCTCCCGATCCATCCTCTATATAGAGCAGGGTGCGCCGTGCACGGAGGGGGAATCTCTCCCGATCCATCCTCTATATAGAGCAGGGTGCGCCGTGCACGGAGGGGGAATCTCTCCCGATCCATCCTCTATATAGAGCAGGGTGCGCCGTGCACGGAGGGGGAATCTCTCCCGATCCATCCTCTATATAGAGCAGGGTGCGCCGTGCACGGAGGGGGAATCTCTCCCGATCCATCCTCTATATAGAGCAGGGTGCGCCGTGCACGGAGGGGGAATCTCTCCCGATCCATCCTCTATATAGAGCAGGGTGCGCCGTGCACGGAGGGGGAATCTCTCCCGATCCATCCTCTATATAGAGCAGGGTGCGCCGTGCACGGAGGGGGAATCTCTCCCGATCCATCCTCTATATAGAGCAGGGTGCGCCGTGCACGGAGGGGGAATCTCTCCCGATCCATCCTCTATATAGAGCAGGGTGCGCCGTGCACGGAGGGGGAATCTCTCCCGATCCATCCTCTATATAGAGCAGGGTGCGCCGTGCACGGAGGGGGAATCTCTCCCGATCCATCCTCTATATAGAGCAGGGTGCGCCGTGCACGGAGGGGGAATCTCTCCCGATCCATCCTCTATATAGAGCAGGGTGCGCCGTGCACGGAGGGGGAATCTCTCCCGATCCATCCTCTATATAGAGCAGGGTGCGCCGTGCACGGAGGGGGAATCTCTCCCGATCCATCCTCTATATAGAGCAGGGTGCGCCGTGCACGGAGGGGGAATCTCTCCCGATCCATCCTCTATATAGAGCAGGGTGCGCCGTGCACGGAGGGGGAATCTCTCCCGATCCATCCTCTATATAGAGCAGGGTGCGCCGTGCACGGAGGGGGAATCTCTCCCGATCCATCCTCTATATAGAGCAGGGTGCGCCGTGCACGGAGGGGGAATCTCTCCCGATCCATCCTCTATATAGAGCAGGGTGCGCCGTGCACGGAGGGGGAATCTCTCCCGATCCATCCTCTATATAGAGCAGGGTGCGCCGTGCACGGAGGGGGAATCTCTCCCGATCCATCCTCTATATAGAGCAGGGTGCGCCGTGCACGGAGGGGGAATCTCTCCCGATCCATCCTCTATATAGAGCAGGGTGCGCCGTGCACGGAGGGGGAATCTCTCCCGATCCATCCTCTATATAGAGCAGGGTGCGCCGTGCACGGAGGGGGAATCTCTCCCGATCCATCCTCTATATAGAGCAGGGTGCGCCGTGCACGGAGGGGGAATCTCTCCCGATCCATCCTCTATATAGAGCAGGGTGCGCCGTGCACGGAGGGGGAATCTCTCCCGATCCATCCTCTATATAGAGCAGGGTGCGCCGTGCACGGAGGGGGAATCTCTCCCGATCCATCCTCTATATAGAGCAGGGTGCGCCGTGCACGGAGGGGGAATCTCTCCCGATCCATCCTCTATATAGAGCAGGGTGCGCCGTGCACGGAGGGGGAATCTCTCCCGATCCATCCTCTATATAGAGCAGGGTGCACCGTGCAGGGAGGGGTGAATCTCCCCCGATCCATCCTATATAGAGCAGGGTGCGCCGTGCACGGAGGGGGAATCTCTCCCGATCCATCCTCTATATCTGATATCCCGGAAGAAGGGTAAAGTCATTATCCCCGCCCTGTACTCTCGAGAAAAAAAGGGCCACAGCCAGTAACCCCGCCCCTATCTCATGGATAAGTGCGGAGTTTCTAGCCCCGCCCCTTATTTTCCGGAAGTGGGCCGAGCCAGTAGCTTTTGAAGAAGGTCAGAGTCAGTATCCCCCGCCGCTGTCCTCCCGGAAGAAGGTCAGAGTCAGTATCCCCCGCCGCTGTCCTCCCGGAAGAAGGTCAGAGTCAGTATCCCCCGCCGCTGTCCTCCCGGAAGAAGGTCAGAGTCAGTATCCCCCGCCGCTGTCCTCCCGAAAGAAGGTCAGTGTCCGCTGACAGGACCCGACAGCCATGGAGGGCACGGTGTACTCGGACATACACGGGGATGAGGTCGGGTTACAGCAGAGCTCGTACAGCGATACGTGCCGGGAGTTCACCGTCACCCGCTCTAAGCTGTCCCTCCGCTCCCTCACCGGCTGTACCTGCGCGGTGTGGCTGGCCGCCTATGGCATCTTCCTGGTTACCGAGCACAACGCCGTCCTGTCGGCCGCCATCCTCTGCACCATCCTGGGCCTCCTCCTCCACCTGCACCTGGTGAAGATCGATCAGGAGTCCCTGCTGCTGCTGGGTTCGCTGGGCATCCAGAAGAGCGTGACGTACGCCTCGGGCCGGGAGAGCACGGTGTTCCTGGAGATGTGCCGGGTGCAGGATGTCGTCATCAATGAGGCCATCTCCATGTCCAAGGTGCACTACCACCTCTGCATCCTGCTCAGGGACCCCGCTGACCCCAAGGGGCCCTCCCAGGTCGTCCCCGTCTTCCAGGGCTCCCAGCCCCGCCTGGACTGCTTGGTGGAGATCTATCGGAGCTGCCAGGAGATCCTATCCAAGAGGAACCAGCCCGGATGCCGATAGGCTGTTTCCATGGTTACTCGGCTGCCCGCGTGCAATGTCATTGACACTTTGGTACCCATGTGAAAGAGAGTGCACAGCCGTGTGCTGATAAAAAAACCCCCCCTTGCTGCTGGCCCTTTAAATTGTAAACAGAGGAGCGCTTCTTGATCATGTGATTGCTTGCCACGGCAGTCACATGATCGTCAGCCCTTCCCATTGTCTCCTGGAACTGACAGTGATAACTGCTGGTCACCTGCACGTCATAGCCCCGCCTCTTCTGGGAGTGTCTGCATACAGTCACGGCCCCGCCTCTTCTGGGAGTGTCTACATACTGTCTGTGCTGGCTCAGCTCCTCGGCCCCTTTCCTCCGTCTACGATCGGCAGCTACATAGGCGCGAAGAAGACGACCAGAGTGGGGCTGCTGACATCAACACGCAAGATGGCGGCGCCCAGTTGCACTCTCTGGGCTTTTAGATATCTACACCAGTCACTGACGATGATGTGAGCTCTGTGATTGGCTGTCACAGTGATCACATGATCGGGGATCCTGTTCATTTCGTCAGCAGCTGTTGGAGACAAAGCGTTCTGTGAGCGCGCCCTCCGCACACGCATCTCCTTCACATGTTCATGGGCCAGAAGCTGGACCTGCGGTTTATTTGTTTTTAAGCGCCAACGCCTCAGACGGTTCATATTAATGCTCCGCTGAGCCCTGAAACACACGCGTGTTGGGAGCGCTGCTGCCACGCCGGATTATAACGCGGCGGAGTTTTCGGTTAGTCGTCACCCCGAGCCCACTGAATCCGAACCACGTATCAGCGGGAGCGATATTCTAATAGTGAGCTCATTATAAAAGCGAGCGACCTCACGGCGTCCCTTCAATTGAATGACATCATCGTTGGAGCGGTGACATCACAGAATACATCGTTTTCATACAGAATTGTCTATTGTGTGGATCAGGGGTAGGCAACCTCGGCGCTCCAGCTGTGGAAGAACTACAAATTCCATCATGCCTTTGCCAGCGGGAGTCGTGTCTGTGGCTGTCAGAGTCTTGCAATGCCTCATGGGACTTGTAGTGTCACCGCAGCTGGAGGGCCGAGGTTGCCAATCCCCGGCGTTGTCTTTAGGCCTCAATTATTTCTACATAACATTAAAACGGTGAAAACTCTCTCTGTGTCTCTTGATTGATATTTGTTGCCTTCAATACATTGGACTGAACATTTGTGTTAAATGGACACACGCACGCACGCACACACACACACACACACACACACGTACACACACACACACGTTAATCTAAGATAAAGGTGACATTCCCCTTTAAGGAGGTAATAATAGTAGTGTAAGGGAAGCACTGATACCATTATTTCCAGACCAGGTACCGATACTCTTCCTCAGGTACTCGCCCATACCAGTTACTGATACCTTTTTTTTGTGTGTGTCATGTGACAGTTTTTCTAAAACAATACAGAGTGATTATTTTAGGACAGTGGTGAAGAGCCAGGTCCCAGCTGCAGCCGCTGCCACCATGGTAGTTCTACCACTGACTCCAAGCTATAGAGAGACTACAACTCCCAGCAATACATTATACAGCAATTTAAAATGCCACCGGCTATAGAGAACTACCAAACCCAGCAATACATTATACAGCAATGCAGAATGCCACCAGCTATAGAGGACTACAAATCCCAGCAATACCACCAACTATAGAGAACTACAAATCACAGCAATGCAGAATAATACAACCAGCTATAGAGGACTACAAATCCCAGCAATACATTATACAGAATACCACCAACTATAGAGAGCTACAAATCCCAGCAATACTTTATACAGCAATGCAGAATACCACCTGACCATAGAGGACTACAAATCCCAGCAATGCAGAACACCACCAGCTATAGAGGGACTACAACTCCCAGCAATACAGAATAATACAACCAGCTATAGAGGACTACAAATCCCAGCAATACATTGTACAGCAATGCAGAATAATATGAAGCCACCGATTTCAAGATTGACTTGATTGGAGTAGTGGCGCGAGGTTTCACATTATACATGCTCTGTGCGCGGGTCTCCCTAGGGCTGTGCGCGGGTCTCCCTAGGGCTGTGCGCGGGTCTCCCTAGGGCTGTGCGCGGGTCTCACTAGGGCTGTGCTGGTGGCGGGAAGGAGGAGATGTTCGTCCGGCGCTGTAAACAGGTGCCCTGAAGTCCCCACAAGGCTGCCGGGAGGTCTCCTGTAAGCGCTTGTGTATAAAAATGTAAAGCGCCGGTATCGACGCTTAGTTTTGGAGCATCCCTAATTAGTCTGGTAATATAGGATCAGGGCAGGGGCGTCCCGAGGCCGTGTGTCACCCCACCATGCGCGACCATCTATGATGCCTGCCAGCGGTCATCTTGGTGATGGACGCCGGCAGAGAGAGGAGGGGACGTTCACCCCGCCGGGTCCCCTCCTGACACTGTCGGGCTCTCGGTCCATGAACGAGTGCCTGACTTTTTAGAGGGGGGTGACACCGAAATGACTGCCGGTCATTTTGGTGACACCAGGGTGCAGGCCGCACCCCCCTTGTAATGCCACTGGATCAGGGTGACGTTCCCCTTTCATTCTCGCTGGTATTAGGTGTTGAAATATCTGTGATACCCCCAACAAAAGCGTGTATTCACAGCGAGCGATGACATCATTGAGCGCAGCGTGGGCGTGGAATGAAAGGATCACCGCATTGTTGTGGGGAATAAGAAGAGGATTGTTCTTCTGGTTTTTTAGCTCCGACACTCACAAGTCACAAATTTCGGCTCAAAATAGGTTTTTATTTTCCTGTAAAATTGGGGGTATCACAGATATTTCAACACCTAATACCAGTGATTGAGTCACTCAGCACTAGCCAACTCATCCTATTGGTTGCTAGGATGCAGGTGGACGCACCACAACAACCTATGGCGCTGTAGGTTTGCCAGCATCTTAGCAACCAGTGACGCAGTGCGAACTGCACAATGCCATTGGTTGCTAAGACACTGGCAGCCTCACAGTGTCATTGGTTGTTATGGTGTGCCCATCTGCATTACAGCAGCCATGTGCCGCTCGCCCACCAGTCAACTGAATCCAGGTCGGTTGGTCAGGGCTGCCGGTGTCTTAGCGACCAATGAAGCTGCATGGCTCACACAGAGTCATTGGTTGCTAAGATGCTGTTGGCCCCACATTTTTAGAGGTTGTTGTGGTGTGCCCACGGGCGTCATAGCAACCCATGATGTGTGGCTGCCAGTGTCTTGACAACCAATGACGCTATGCAGGCCACACAGCGTCATTGGTTGTTATGGTGTGCCCGCCTGCATCCTTAACAACCAATGATGCTGTGCGGCTCATCCACCAGTCAGCCAATGACTGTGTGTGACCCAGCCGCTAGTGTCCTAGCAACCAGTGGCTCTGCAGCCCAGCCTCTAGTGTCTTAGCAACCAATGACTCTGTGAGGCCCAGCTTTTACTGTCCTAGCAACCAATGGCTCTTGCGGCCCAGCCTCTAGCATCCTAGCAACCAATGATTTCGCAGCCCAGCCTCTAGCATCCTAGCAACCAATGACTCTGCAGCCCAGCCTCTAGCATCCTAGCAACCAATGATTCTGCAGCCCAGCCTCTAGCATCCTAGCAACCAATGACTCTGCAGCCCAGCCTCTAGCATCCTAGCAACCAATGATTCTGCAGCGCAGCCTCTAGCGTCTTAGTAACCAATGAAGCTGTTTGGCCCAGCCTTTAGTGTCCTAGTAACCAATGACTCTTTGCAGCCCACCCTCTAGTGTCCTAGCAACCAATAACCCTGTTTGGCCCACACTCTAGTGTCCTAGCAACCTATGGCTCTTGGCATCTTTGGTTGCTAGGACACGGGCTGCCCTGGTTTCCGGTTTGCTTAGACATTCATTGAACCCGGTTTTCTGGCAAACGCCCAGGTGAACTGAACCCAGGTACGGCACGCTCGGCTCATCACCAATGGAGGTATCTTCTATATTTTGGATTATTTAGTCCGTTGCACGCGGCAATCAGGATATGAGATCTGTTTCCTCTTGTAGATGAGAGAACATTTCATCATCCCCATTATATTTCCTTTTATTCTGCAGAGCGCCCCCCTCCTCCCCTTCCCCCATATGCTGCCTGGAGGAGAAGTTGGGAGACTACAACAAGTCCTCTTTGCTCCTGTATTAGATTGCAGCCTCTAGCGTCTTAGTAACCAATGAAGCTGTTTGGCCCAGCCTTTAGTGTCCTAGTAACCAATGACTCTTTGCAGCCCACCCTCTAGTGTCCTAGCAACCAATAACCCTGTTTGGCCCACACTCTAGTGTCCTAGCAACCTATGGCTCTTGGCATCTTTGGTTGCTAGGACACGGGCTGCCCTGGTTTCCGGTTTGCTTAGACATTCATTGAACCCGGTTTTCTGGCAAACGCCCAGGTGAACTGAACCCAGGTACGGCACGCTCGGCTCATCACCAATGGAGGTATCTTCTATATTTTGGATTATTTAGTCCGTTGCACGCGGCAATCAGGATATGAGATCTGTTTCCTCTTGTAGATGAGAGAACATTTCATCATCCCCATTATATTTCCTTTTATTCTGCAGAGCGCCCCCCTCCTCCCCTTCCCCCATATGCTGCCTGGAGGAGAAGTTGGGAGACTACAACAAGTCCTCTTTGCTCCTGTATTAGATTGCACCCCCCCCCGCCTCCGCTCTTTTTGGTTGTTGACTTTTGATGAATTGGCTTTAACACATGAAAGCTTCCCGACACATGGAGGATGGATGTCAACGAGCTCTCACACGTCACAGTGCCCGTAAATGTGAACTGTACATGTCAGGTCAGTCTGTACGCAAAACTCTCCCGTGTACCTCTGTATTGGTTGTCACAAAACAAAAAGTCAAACAACAACAGCGTACACCGGGGGTAGGCGACCTCAGCACTCCAGCTGTGCTAAAACTACACATCCCATCATGCACTCTGCCTGTGGGATTCATGCCTGTGGGTGTCAGAGTCTTGCAATGCCTCGTGGTTCCCGCAGAAGCTGAAGTACAAAGGTTGGCTACCCCTGGCATCAACCAGATTGTCATCATACACGGATCGTATCATCATACACGGATTTAATAGGTTGGACTTGATGGACTAATGTCTTTATTCAACCTCAAATACTATGTAACTATGTATCACATGATACATGGATGTAATAGTTATAGTGAATGTCAGAACACGTATGCAGCACAGCTCTACAATACACGCAATAAATCATTACAATAAATGAACCATATGCCTCTGCAAACCCAGATATTACCTTGTATAAAATAGCAGTGACATCATCACTGTGCTGCACATAGCCTGTGCAGAGATCAGAGCTGTGGGAGGGGCCCATTAGGCTCCACCCACTACAGGAGGGGGCACAAATAAGGCCAGTCACTCTGCACAAGGACAGAGAGCAGCAGAGGGCGGTCTTTATTACGGGAGGGGGCGGAGACAAGACCATGGGTCAGGATGTTCCGCAGTTCCAGGAGGCGCCGGTCCCAGGTAAGGCGATCAGTCCCCGCGCTGGTCTCTCGCGTTCCGTACGCCAATCGCCTCTCGCTCGCTGCTCGCGTTTCTCTTTGTCTCCGGAGCTGCGGCGCTCTGGTCTCCCCCATCCCGGGACATCAGCGGGAGCTCTCCATCCTTATCTGGACTCTTATTATTATTATTAAGAGACGCGGAAATT